TACCATTATCTTGCCCCCCAGCAGCTCAGCCCAGTTTGAAAAAGCAAACCAGCGTATCGCAACATAGCTCCATCAGCCAGGCGGATGATGTTAGCTCGCCGTATTCGCGTGTTAAGGGCTTGCCGCATGATTATGCCAAGGTGCGTGGCACCGAGCATCCGTATGCGCAACTTAATGCACCGTCCACCTCCACCTCTGCTGTAGCAGCAACAAATGCAAGCAATTCCAGCAGCAAAGCTGCATGTTCACAACATGGCACCGACTCACTGCAGCGTGGCTCACAGCTCAGTGGCGAGTCGGCACAGCACCTGAACGATGAATCGACTTCGCAGGTAGAAATACCGGCTGCATCGGCTATTGCGGGCATGATATCGGCCAGTCAGGATCTGCCCTATATGACGCCGCCCATTGCAAATCAACATTTTAGTGGCGACTCACAAGACTCTTCTAGTAAGTGGTCATACTCTGCTCTCTAAGAACTGTTTTTCGTAATTGTAATTGTAATTGTAATTGTAATTGTTATCTACAGAGGGATATACGAGCATTAGCGTGCGTGAGCCGCTGGCTAATATTCTGGCACAGCAACCGCCGAGCAAACAGACGGCCAGAAAAACTACGCTGACGCGTGATGTCAATGACTCGCACTATGCAACCGTCTCAGACGATTCGGGTAAGTCTCAAAGCCATGATGCTGATTAAAAATATGTTGATTAATTATTTTGCTCACTTATGTAGATGAAACATATGCGGCTATTGAGGATCCCAACAATCGTCACATACCAAATGCCACCGATATTTATACAAGCGGTTCAGAGACCTATGCACAAATCCAGCCAATGCAGGCTAATCCCATTGTAGTGGCAGTTGAGATTAACAACAGCAGCAGCTTGTCGGCAGCGAGTGCAGCGACAGGCAGTAGCGGGCAGCTGCCGCCGCTTAATCACACTACGGGCAGCGGATCGACGCACCGAGTGAGCAGCAGCAGCATGGAGTATGCTGGGCCCGTGCCGCATCATGTGGATAATTTGCGCGCACAAATGCACTCGCGGCAAGCATCTTCTTCGTCGTCTGTGTGCAATTTAGGTTCGCCCAAACCGGAGAAGAGGCAGGCAAATTCTCCGTTGCCTCCTACGCCCAAAGCGAGTCTCAGTCAGTCGCAAGGGCAACATCACCTTCATTCAGCAGCAAGCAGCAGCAATCTTACATCTGGGCGCAGCTCTGTTATCTCTGTAATTGAAGCCGGCGGTGAGGGCAACAACGATGCCAATGATGCTAGCAATGCATCCCCACAGCGCAAGCACAGCAAGAGTCTAAGCCCATCCAAAGATGTTGAGGGCAGCAGAAACATCGAGGGAATGTACGCCAAGGTGAGTATTGGCTTATTGTACTGCCGACATCACAATTATAACCTCGCCGCTTTCCGATTGCAGGTGATGAAGAAGCACAAGTTCTCCTCACACCAGCCGGAGGTACTTGGTGTCAGTCCCTTGGATAGTGCAGCAGCGGCGCTTCTAATGGATCCACTGAAGCTGACGACATCTGGGTCTGACAAGAGTCGTGTGCGCAGCAACAGTTACACTGCCAAAGATCATGGATACGAGACGATACCGGCGGATGGGCAGAAACTGACGCAAAATCAGCTGCCGCACGAGAATCGCAAGTCGGATTGTTATGCCAACATTCTGCAAAAGGAGCGGCAGCTGGAAGCAGGTAAATAAGTTCAAGCAGTCTCTTATTTTCCAGTAGAGATGAACGATATTTGTGCAGATCAAAGGTGAAACAAAAACAGGGAGAAATCAATGTAATTTATAGAGCTTAAACGCAATTCATTGTGCTTAAAGCTCGAAACCCAACAAGTCAAAAGCAAATTAAAAGCTGTGAAGCTTGAAGAAGGTTGCGTTGTTTTGACTATGTATCAAGCTATTTTTCAAATTAATGATAGTTTCAAGCAAGTTAAATTTTATTTACTTAGAGCAATGAACTTTACTTGATACTCGAATCTAGAAAACAAAAAAAGCTGCAAACTTGTAGCTGGAAAACTTTAAGCGAACTGAACTGTATTAAGAAAATATGAATTGTAGCTTTCTCAAACGCGTGCTGGAACATTTTCAAAAGTGTTTATTAAAGTCATGGTACAAAGCTCAGTTCAGTTAAAGTTAAAGCTTAGAGCTCGACTATAAATATAAGCTATATGTCTTTAAACTCATAGATTATGGCTAGAAGCTTTAAGCTGGCTAATTTGCGTTGACTTATCGCAATAAATTGAACATCAGGTTTATAGGTCGACTTTAAGATTTGTAACTCTTGCACAATATCGTTTATCTCAACCTTTTAGTTCCCAGCTACTCTGTCTAACCACCTAATATGCCCAATTAATCTCCTCTTGTTTCTCTCCTTGTGTCTTGTTTATTTATTTTTTATACTTTAACCCACGCCTTGGGTATCCACAATTTAGTTGTTTTGCCAAAATGAGAAATTTGCGCGTTTCGACAGTTTCGTCAGTTTTTGTTGGAAACTGACAGTGGTTAGTATATCAAATGGATGACGCTTTTTAGCTTGGCATGCATCTTAAGACTTTAACCTCTACTCCAGAATTTTAATGCATTTTACTAATAGCCGCCTTTGTTGTACCGGTTATAACAGCTGTCAGTCAAACGCATCACAACAATATCAGCAGCAGCAGCGTTCAGGTCAAACCTGTTGCGCCCAGCACCAGCACAAAGCACTACGAGACTATTAACTGCCCACCGTGTCAGCCCTCGAACAGCAACGATCCTGGCTATGAGCAGCTGCAGACGGCGCCCAACGATGATGATGCCAAGAAGTCCGACTATGATCCCAACTATGAGGTGTTGAAGAGTCGCGCCCATTCGGACGATGGCTATGCCAAGGTGCTGGAAAAGAAGCGTCCGCCCGGCGATGTTGTGGATAGTAGTGGTGGCTACAGCACAATACCTGGCGCCGATGCGAATCATAATTATGCCAGCATACTCGAGACTAAGGCGCATCTGGCACCGGCTGCAAGCGAAACGGATCACTATGCGCGTATAGCTGAGAATGTGGCGCTCACTTCGCCCCTTACGCCCAACTCATCCTCCATGGCGAACAGCTTGTCCATGATTACAGTGACCACCAGCACCAGCATGGTGAGCAGCATGAGCTCACATCAGACGCCTAGTTCCTCACAGTATGAATCACTTACGGGCACGGGCAGTGAAACGGATCCCAACTACGAGTCGGTGTGCTATTTAAATGCCACAACAATGACACAAACAACAACATCTACTAACAACAGCAGCAACAACAGCAACAGCAATAGCAGCAGCAGCAGTAACAACACGGATAATGGCTACGAGCGTCTGGAGTCGGATAACAATACGCAGGCGAGCAGCCCGCTGAGCACGCCCAGTGAACAGCAGCTGGTAGTGGATGATTACTTTCAGGTGTAGCTGTAACAACAGTAGCTGCAAACAGTAGTGAGCTGGATCTCGTTGAACTATATTTACAAAACGCCCACAAAAACGCACACGCACACCCTAGCATTTTCGTTTGCCTAGCAATTGCTTTTATTATTATTACTTTTTTTTACTCAACGCACATATCACATTGGATGCACAGCAGCAAAGTTTTTGATTAGAGTCCATGGAACCCAAGAATAAAGCTAGATGTGTTGCATGCATTGTATGCTGCTTCATATCGGTTCGCACTTTAGCCCTAGCCTAGCACTTAGTTATATAAATAACAAGAACTTCATGTACAAAGTATTTGTATGTTAAACTCGATAATTATTTCCACGCGGCAGATAAGCCTATATGCTTACATATATATAGATAGCTATATACTATGAGTAAATCTAAATACCAGTGCGTCCTAATTTAGTTAAATTTAATGCAAGAACAAAGGCGATACGTTTTCAATTGATTAGAATACCGCGTTGATAAGCAGAAAGATATTTAAAACAAACAAAAAACAAAGTAAGCAAATCAAGGGAAGATTACTATATTATAGATTGTATATTTTTATATGTTAGCATTTTTTGCTGCTTTTTTACTTTATTGATGTCGCCTGGACATACATACGGACATATGTATACCCATTCAATACGATTACACACACACACACATACGATAACTGGCTGACAAGCCCATGTTAGTAAAAAACAAAAACAAATTTCAAGTATTCAAGCCACAAATAACTAAGCTAAAAGTTGAATAAATTATTGATGACTGTCAATTGTTTTGATTTCTTGCAATCTAGTTTATTTTTCGTAAAGCCTTTTCACCCGTTATTCACCATTTGAAGTGAATTTAAAAAAAAAGAGGATTGCAAATAAATTTGAAGTGAAATGAATGAACATTAAATTTCAATTCGAAAAACTTTGCAAACATAATTTTAACTTTCTGGCTTCCACCCAAGATTTACCTGTGTGAGCCGAATGGAAAATTGCTGCAATACGGATAATGATAAAGGATGAATGATAAGTTTAAGGAAAATTAAACTTTCTTCCAACAAGCGAGATAACATTTATCTTAAACAGACAAAGCAGCTTTCCATTAATTTTGCAGCTTTTTGTGTGGAATTGTTGAAAACCCAGTTCCTAGATCTAACAGTGTGTTGATAACCAATGAAAAACTGTTGTATATACTATATAGATTTAATAATTTATTTATTTACGTTTTACAGCAGCACGAGGGGCACAATCCAAACTACACGTGCAACTACACGAGACTGTGTTTACATAGATACAAGTAACATTACGAGCATAAATTGCAATTGCAACCACATCGAGCACAAAAGGTATGCATATATGTATTTTTATATGTATATATATATATGTGTATATGGGAGATTATTTGATTTAGCTAAATGCCGGATGCAGTCAGTTGTTACCGGCAGCATGAGCGGCAGCAGCATCTAATGCTGTGCCCGCCGTGTCCGTTGCTCGTGTGCTGTTCGCCATGCGAGATCGCCACACATAGTAGATGAACGCACAGAGCACAAACTGTAGGAATATGTATTGATAATCAAAGATCAAGCTACACCTATGAAATGTAAAGGATGAAACGCGCCCGACAAGCGCCGAAACAGCCGCTTCCACGTTTCATTCATTGTTTCCATCGGCCGGCTGTGCCATAGCCGCCACGCCTGCTGCGGCTACGGCTACTGCTGCTGCAGGCTGTTGTTGCTGCTGCGGCTGCATCATTAGCATTGCCTGTGGGGCCGCTGGCAATATTTGCTGTTGCACCTGGGCTAGGAATGCAGCTGATGAAGCCGACGTGGGAGGCGGCAACGACGGGGGCTGGCTGACAACTGGCGGTTGCTGTTGCTGGCCGGGATCTCGGTTCAGCAGCGCAATATTGCTGGCCTTCATGCGGGCTATAGAGGTGGCCAGGCCGCCTCCCATAGCCGATAGACACGGTGACATACAAGGTGTTGAGCATGATGAATTGCTGATTTCACACTGGTCAAGTAGGCGGAGAAGCTCGTTAGTGTCGGGTCCGCCAGAGGTTTTCTGCTGCGGCTCATCCTTTGCGTGCAGCGCCAGTGCTGTTGTTAGATCCCACATTTGTATGGCTCCATTGCAGTGACCGGTGAGTATGAAGCGTGAGCCCATCCGCGACGATACCTCGCACTCGTGCACACAGAATGCCGATATGGTTGAGCCATCCACGGAGCGTATCACACAGACACGATCACCGTTGGAAGCCTGTCGCACATACAACTGATTTGTCTCGGGCACCACTTTCTGCACAAAGATCATGTCATCGTAGTCGCCATAGGGTCCAAAATCATTGCCAGCCGCATAGCTGTAGTTGCTATCTGTGGCCTCCAGTGAGACAATCTTGAAGGAAGCCTCCGGCGTGGATCCCGGCTGTGTCGAGAGCATGCCACGAAAGCGTGTCAGGCTCCAGGTGCGCACATGATGATACTCGCTGCAAACGGATACCAAATACCGCTCCGATAGCATGACCTGTCATAGAAGATGGTTGTTAAGTACATTTTTTTTTTTAAAGAATCAAAAAAGTCTTGCCTTGGTAATGGGACTTTGATGTACAAAGAATGTCTCGAAAAGATGTGGCCCATGACCGGCCGTTTCCGGATGCTGTACAATTATGCGCACGGCTCCGGATTTGGTGCCATAGGCAATCTCTATCCAGTTGCCGCTTATGCTCGACGTCTTCGGAGTTAAATAAACGGATATTGCTGTAATGGGATCCATATTGGCGTCCTTATACAGCTCGGTTACCAGCAAATCGTTGTCCTTCATACGCAACGGAAACTTTTGCATATCTAGGAGCAAAAGGGTTATTAAAGAGAGTCTATCTTGGCTTGTGCGACATACCTATGTAGTAAATGGAGCCATTGTTGCAGCCCAGCAGCAGAAAGGAGCCCGCCGAGTCGAAGGAAAGCACCGGCACCAGATCCTGTATTTGCCAGTGCTGTGTCATGGCATGCCAGACGCCAATTTTACCAGACGAGGACAACGCCACCAGCTGGCTGCCAATGAAGAACAAATACTCCACGCGCACATTGAGATTGAAGGTGCCAATATCTGATTTGTTGCCGCCCTCCTGTATGCTCCACAAACGTATCTGGCTGCCATACGATATGGCTATCATTTTACTTGGCATCGGCTCGGCGGTGGATGTGTTCACCTTCGAGTTGATGGCAATGCGCTCGATGGCAGCATCGATGTGTGGCGATGTGAACACTTGCTGCCAGCCATTCGAGTCCTTCACGCGATAGCAGGTGACAAAGTGCGCATAGGCAACGGCAATCCAGTTCTGATGCGCCTTGATGATCTGCACGCGCAGCGGTGGCGTCCAATTCGAGCTCTGTGTGGGACTGAACACCAGACCCACTTCGTTGCGTATCACTTTGTTCAGATCAGCCGAGGAGTTGCGCGAGTGTCGCATAAAATCGAGCGAAGCGTTGCGCGAATGTCCACCAACTGGATTCCAGGCAGCTGGAGGCGCAACAGGTGCCGCATTGGAGCTCGAAGCGCTATTTGAGCCACGGCCACTGCGCAAATCCCAGGACGAATTGCGCGAATGCGTAGAGGAGTGACGCGACGAGGCTGATGATGTCTCCGGCACGCGCACCATGGAACCAGGTCGTGCAGCAGCAGCACCATTGCCAGATGACGTAGGCAAACCAGCATACGATTCCATGGGACTGTTTGCAGCTTCCATTGTGGCCTGCAGCGCATCATTGGGCGGCATGGCTGGTGCTGTTAGAAAGCCATAGAAGAGCACATCGCCGCACGAGGAGTGATTGAGATCCTCGCACAGAGCCAGACGCTTGGTCAGCGGCGTGATGCCATAATACTCCGCCTCATGGCGCAATGCGCGTATTTCACAATTCTTGATATCAATGTCTTTCGTCCGCAAGTAGTTTAAAATGATGGAGAAAAGCGTCGGATCGCGATCAATAAAGATGGCATTGTGCTCATCTCGCAGACTCGAGATGCGACCACTCAGCAGGGCCGTAAAGAATGTGTCCGGTATCCATGTAAGTGTTTGCCGTGACGTCGAGAAGCTGCAAGCACATCAAGGGGGAGGTAGGGGGTGTGTGTAGTCTATATTGTGTTGGTTTTTTTTTTTTTGCATGCGTCATCAAAGTTAATGCTAGATTTGCTCCACTCACCGTTGACCGCCCACATTGAGATTAACCAAATCGCTGCTGGCACTGTGCATAAAGTAGGACATGCCAACTATTCCACAGCCGCAGTGGCAGCGTCAACCCAATTCCGTAGTCTATTTGTGTGGCTTCGATTTGTTGCCGCGGTGGGGCCGCCGTCGTTGCTGACCCGCTGACGACTGCAACTGCAGTGACAACGACGACAACGCAGCGTCTGGCTTTGTGTGGCAACTGTTGTGCGCTGCGCTGCGCTGCTCTCGGCACTTAATATTCGTTTTAAATGTGGCGATCACTTTATTTTTGGAATTGCGTTTTCTTTATTTGCTTCAGCTGCACTGCGCTACACACAATTTTTACATATACTATTTTACGCATATATGCATATGTTTGTAAATGCGTGTAGTGAGTGTTTTTGTTGACGTTGTTGCTTATCGCTGTGAATGGCATACGACATTATTTTGCGCATCTGGCAGCACGGCATGCCGCTGTAACTGTAACTGAGCTGGCATTTCAAAGCACCCAGCGGGAAGGTTGTACCTGAATTTAACTGAAGGTTAGGTTTAGCAACAGTATAAAACATAGAAATATTTACTTTACAATACATTTCAAGGAGGGTATTGATGTAATGAATAACATTTATCGATTCCCTGTCAGCTGAAAAGCAAAAGTAATTAATCACAGAGCAACAAAATTCCGCAAAGTTAGGTCAGCACTCACCTGCTGGGTTCACGTCGAGAAGAACTCAACTCCTCAAATTTTTGTTTGGCAAGTACTTTTAAAGGAAACTTGGGAGCTAATGCTAAGGGTGGTCACGAGAAGTGCTAATTCAGCAGCTTTTTATAGTGATTGTGTGTGTGTTGAAATCGTAGGGCATTAGGGCAAGCAATGGAACAGAGCGCATAAACCGCAGTTGCCGTGCCCGAAAGGAGTGGAGCTCCATCTGCGTGGATACCTCACACATGTGGAGAGAATAAACCGACAAATGATAACGACACTCGAGCAAACAACAATAAAGGAATCGAGTAAATGAAAGAAATAATGGTGGCAGAATGTGTAACAAGTAACACAAGCGCACGCACACACACGCAGTCATATCCTGCCTGCGCGGTGCTCACCCCGTGCCCTACCACCCCACTCATACAACTCATCTGTTTGCCGATGGGTGGGTGGGGGTGGGGGTAGCGAAGCCCCAACAGCTAACCAAATGCGAACAAATGTTTGGCTGTGCGTGTGCGTTTGTGTGTGTGTGTGTATGTGTCTGTGCGCCCAGCATATTAAAGTGAGCCAATTTTGGCGCGTGTTTTGCGCTAATTTCGTTTCGGTTTCTGGGATTTGGACGAGCTCGTCTTGAACATAAATAATATATATGTATGTATATGCACCTGACGAAGTAAAAACGTGGCAATGAAAGTATATTGCCATATAACGAAAATATTCGAATATAAATATTATAAAAACAAGGTGGCATCGTTATTTCGAGCTTGCGTGCATCGCAGAAGTTGTGTTAGATTACAGCTCGACACCCTCTCGTTCTATTCTTTCTGGATAACCGTATTTAACAGCCATATTGTTAATCGTGTACTATGAGGCACATTAACAGGGCAGAGTTGCCAATATGAGGGGAAAAGAGACGGAAACAACATATGGCAACATCTTTAAATTTGTAACAGGTAAAGCTCAATCTAAGTTTGAAGTCTTTTTAAACGAAAGCCCATCAAATAAAATGATATGGTTTATCATGACTTGGTTTATCTTAGTAGAAAAGATTAAAACAATCCATGCATGATATGCTCATACTGAAAACAGAGTATCTGCTAGTCGATCTCACAAGCCAATTGCAACTTGACTTGTCATAACAATTTTCAACTAAGTAAATGCAGTCAATTTTAATATGCACACAAATGTGCATATATTTATTACCTTACCCATATGAAGATATATCTGCGTGAGCCACAAATGCCACCTTTATGAGCTGGGTGTTAATTGTTAATCCTTGTTGACACCGTTTTTTTTTTTGTTGTCCTTCTTTTTTGTTGGCTGGAACTGTGCTGGCGCCAGGCTTAATTTCTTAAATGGCGAACGCTCTTATCTGGCCTCTTGTGCGTTTTGTAATTAATTGGCCGTACATATATTTTACTGCTGCTGCCAGAAGCGTTGTCATAGGCCGCTCAGCACGTGCTGCCGCCGTTGTGGAGCAGCCTAATGATTAATTACAATTTAATTTGTCTGCCATTTTGTTGGGCTTCCACAACAGCAGCCGCCGCCTATGCACAGTGGGCCACAGCTGTGCGAACGAGCAGAGCTTTGTGTAATGCGCGCATTGTGTGTAGTTTTTCAAGGGTCTGGCAGCACTGTGCAGCAGCAGCATTTCCGCTTCAGGTTCGAGCAAATTAATTGTTTTTGCATTTGATGCTGCTTTGCTTTTGCCATTGTTTGCATAGCCAGCCAAAATATGCTAATTATTTGTGCGAGACTTTTTGGCTTATAAAGCCGCGCAATGAATCGGCAACAATTTTAGTATTTTTAACTGCAAATGCTTTAAACTTAAAGGTAAAGAAGAAGTTGCCTTTCAGTTATGACCTTAAAATGCCTGTTCATTTATCGTCCTTTGCAACAAAACTGGATGAGAAATGAGCTGTACTTTGTGTTTGGTCTAACATGAAATTAACTCATTCTTTGCGGCCAACAATAACAACAGGCGTTAGGCCTACACACCCATACATACATGCATAAAAACTGGCACATAAATAAAGGCGTTCAAGACTGAGGTCAAGCGACGCCATTTTTCAGGCGGCCAAACAAAAATTTTGCTTCAAGTGCTTCATACAATGCTTACGTGTGAGATCCTTTGTCTCTGTGTATGTGTGTGCATGCGTGAGTATTGGTGTAGCACATGCTATTCCAGTTAAGAAAACATAAACAAACGCCCACACACAGTGTGGCGTAAAAGCTTTAAACGTGCTAACAAAACTATGTCACGAAAGCTTTTACGCGTATTATAATGAGCATTGTCTGAATGAGATGACGACCACAGTAGGCGCAACAGTTTTGAGCGTGCGCGCAGCACGGCAACACTGGACGCTCTTAAGGCGCTTTCACTCTCTTGCTGGCTCTCTTTGCTAGTCTGTTGGAGCAACAGTTATAGGCGCTGCTGCTCACACCCTTCGCGCGACCCAGACAAAGCCTTGCCGCTATGCTGCTCTACCTGAAATTGTTGGGGTCTCACCCATCCATACATAAATATGTATGTCAGTCAGAGTAGCGGCAGCGCAGTTGGCGTCGCAGCCTTGTGCAAGACTGTTTCGGTGTTTGAGCACCCAGGACCTACTGCGTGCTGTAGGCAGATGGCTTTCAGTGCCTGGATTGTTATTGCCGAGCTCACAACGTGCCAAGCGGAGTGCGCGTCTGTGCGTGACTAGTGTTGTAAAAGTCGTGAAGTTAAGTACTGTTTCGTTCTTGTATATTTAACAAATGGCTACGCGCGTGTGTGTGTGCTTGAGCTTTTCATTGTAGCCAAAGCCACGTGCGCTTATTAAAAAAAAAAAATACAAATGAAAAATGTTTCAAAATCCAGAGAAATACGTTTTTTACGTTTTTTGCGTGAAACATAAAAAAACAGCAGCATGCTTATGAATTGGTATGTCCTATAGATCTCATGCAGCCATTACGCATTCACAATTAATTCACAATAACATGATAACCAAAGAAAAAGAAAAAAAAAAAAACTTATTAAACATCGATATTCAATTATGCGTGCCCTTGCACATTTTTCCCATTTTCCACGCCGTCAAACAGTGTAGGAAGACTGCGACGCCTTGCCCCTCCGTACGGTGTCTGGTTCCCATAGTCTTTGGGCCACTGTGCGTTGTCTGCTCAGTGCACATCCTTTAAGGTGTTTTGTGTCTGCTCTGTGCCCTATCTGTTTTGCTTTCATCTTCAATTTCCTTTGCGCACTCGCGCGTTTCCATTGCCATGACCGTTGTCGCCAGCGACGGCATCTTGGCACATAAAATGCCAAGAAAATTACAACTTATTGAGTTGCAAAGCGCGCGCACACACACACATACATACATATGGCGATACTGAGACATACTGTCCCCTTGGGAGCGTGCCACACTTTGGCCCAACCTCGACGCGAATTCGTCTCAAGCATCACCAGCGTTTGCATTTGCATGCCTTGACGAAAAACATCTGCACCCAAATATGTGCGCGCGTGTGTGTGTTTGTGCGTGTGTGCGTGGTACAGATGCTTAAAGCCATAGTTTAATTAGCTCAAATTTTTGTAAAGAACGCCTTGCCCGATTACAGCAGACAGACATTGGTTAAGCTGCGGCCGCAGTCGTAACCGCCAGTTTTGGGCGGTTGCGGGTCTGCCTGCTGGAGGTCCTTGACTTGTACTGCTTAAGGATTACAGCAATATTATGAATATTTTGGCATTTATTTAAAATGCAATATTTTATATATAGAGTGTAAATAAGTGCTTATATTATTAACTTTTTATCCGAATACTGAATTCGCTTAATATAGAATGTAACAGTCTAGAGAAATGGGACTTTCCACTGTATCATATAGGTGCCATAGCAATGATCGGCCGAAAATAAAATTTCAGTACTAACTACTTTTCTTTAAGATATCCCTGACCGAACTCGGCATTTACAAGTCTCACTTTGCTCCTCTTCGGAACCCCATATTTAATAGCTTCAGCAAACTCAGCAATATTGTCCTCTTTAATGCTCCTCGCATATCTGAGTGTTATTCAATTTGTCGAGATTTTTCTGATATTGATATATAAATGTTTTTTTCAGATGTACAAAGAATTAAAATTTCGCTTGTATCGTATGCATTGGCCCTTACAACCTTTATTCCGATTCATATTTTGAAATATTATGAGCCTTAACAAATAAAGAATTTAATAAATTATTCTGTTCAGGAAACTGTATATATAAATGTATAGTACTATGTTTGGCTTCAAATTTGCGAGAGTGCAAACTATCTGGCAACGCTGTTGCTTAAGTCATTAATAAAAAAAGTTGCTACTATTTTAACATTGTCTACTACCATTTATACAAACTACCTTTTGCTGCCACAGTCTATGCCTTTTGCAACACGTTGCCATTAATACGTACTTCCCTTGACACTTGTGAGCCAATAAACTTGAAAAAGAGCAACAGTTGCCGCATACTGACACACTGACACACACACACACACACAAACACATACACATACACTTATACATAGGTGCACACATACAGACACACAACACACACGCGCGCTAGCCGAGCGCTGGCTTCGTTATTCGCCCGAACAGCTGGCTCGCAGCTCGCCTCGCAGTGGCAACAGCGAAACTTTGTTGAGCCGCACATAACGCAGATGTCCTTTGCCGTGACCGCTTCGC